ATTTTTTGCATAAAATCCATATAAATTTTTTATATCTACAAAAACAAAAATTAAAAAACTATTAAAATATTCATAAAATAGCCTAGCATGTTTGAAATGCTCTGGCAAAATTAGATAGTAAATAGAATACTTAACAATCACAAAATATCTACTTGTACGGATTGTAGCTGTGTGAATTTTGGGCTGCATGTAGGGTTCGGGTCAAACCCAGAACTAACCCGGCACTATTCAGGTCAACCCAAGCCTGACCCATTCTTAGAAACAAGTTAGTTTTCTAGACCCAAACCCAACTTGCTTTGAGTTCAGGTCAACCAGACTCGACAAAGATTTTCCGATTTTGCAAGCTGCTGAACTCCCGTGGCTTTGCAAGTTGATGAACTCCCGTTGTTACTTTGGATTAATTGAGTTACTACTGAGCTCCCATCTCTTTGTTGAGCTCCCATCGCTACTTCATTGTAGCATCCTTGTCAGCTAAAACTACCTCACTAATATTATTTTTGAGTTTCTTTTTTGAAGCACTTTCTTCGGGGAATCTAAATTCATGATCTTCAAAAATTGAAGGAGGAATTGATATAATCTTGCGATTGTCCGCTTAACAAGAGTGGCCCTAACATTCTCTGCTTGCTTGAGCTTATAAAGCCTATAAAAATAACATCAATAATAGGAACAAGCTTCTAAAAAATACCTTCAACCTCCTCTAGCTTCTCAAAAAAAGCACAGGGGTTTACCTGTATTGCCAAAACTTGTGTCTTAAACCAAATGTACCTCTTCGAGGCTGAGGTAGTGACAACCATATAAGAAGGTTTTTGGACTCTAGAGATTAGATGAATTGGTCTCGAAGTCAGAATCAATAGCTAGGAGGACATCATTACCCTCAGAGATAATCTCTGCAGTGTCATGTCACACTGATCCACCGACACGCCATCATACTCAAGAGAGTCTTGTGCCACCAACATGCCATCGTCTAACTAGATGGTAAATATTGAACTGCATGATTCGTGACCTCTCGAATTGTTGTAATCTCTGTCTCCTCCTTAAATCCTGAACTTGGGTTGATTTAGGGTTGATTTTGGGTTTTTGGGTCAACTCAAACCCGACCATTTTTTTAAAGGGGTCAAAATCATTAACTTAAACTCGAGCCATTTTAGGTTCGGGTTGACCCAAACCAAAAAATTTCATGTCAGGTTCAAGTCGGGTTTTTGGGTCGTGTAAAATATTGACACCCTAACTTATTATGCCAAATTATTAAGGAATTTTAGTTCTTCTTATTTTCATATCTACACTGCCCATAAAATTAGGAGAAAATTATTACAATTAAAGCTAAATAATATTTATGATATGGTGAAGAGAGTTTATAAATTAAACATATAATGACTCCTAAAATATTATTTGACTAGGTCAAAATATGGATTATTATAATCTCCACATCTTAGAAAAATATTGCCCTTCATATTTCTAATGACAGCTCACTACTCGTTGGTCACCTCAATCATGAATCATATCACACAATTATACATTCACTAATGTATGCATGACAATCAATAATATAACTTGTTAATCAATTAATTTTTTATGCATTCAATAAAAAATAATAGTATTCAAAAGAGAACTTATACTAGTGGACCTCTCATGATCATCTCTCACTTCTTATTTATGTAATATATATATTCTTTGTTGTATATGCACTATCATCATTAGTTGTGTGAGAAGACTCTATCTCTCACTCAGATTTCTTCAACCTGTCATGGTCATAGAATCTTAATGAGACATTCTAGACTCTATAAGTCTCTGACCATATGCCTATCTAGAGTGATCTATCATGGATCCAAATCTCTCCCCAAATCCTCTTTGTGGGTAGTCTATCATCCAGTATATGTACTGATCATATTAAAAGTACTTTCTAGTGAGTAGAACCATATGTGGGATACTCCAACATATTGTCAGCTAGTACCATGGGTTCTTTCCTAATATCAATAAATATGCATCTCTTCTCATTGCTCTATCGTCTAGTAAGCTTTTCACCTACTGTCGTCCTACTGATTCCCTATCTAAACTAGGGAATAGCCAAATCATTTTTTACAAGATATACTCTCAACTAACTAATTCCTAAATCCTAAGTGGTATAAGTGGATTCCTCAACTCATTTTTTTATCCTCTGAGAAATGTTTTGTATTTTTTCTCTATTGAACTGATTAACTATGGAGCATACCTTGCCAATTCAATAAATATAGCTTCATACAACATTTTTGTTATGTTCCACTACTCCAATCTTATGAAAGCTTCTTACATATGCTATTGTGCTGATAAAGGTACAAATTTATCTATGAAGAAAGCAACAAACACTACCCAAGTAATCTCTACATTCACCTTTACCTAATATTTATAATTTTTCTATCCTATCCACTATCTCTTAGATTCTCCTTCAAATAAAAATATTTCTAATGGAACTTTTTTGTTCTCTGGACACTACATGCTATCAAATATCTTCTCTATCCTTAGTAGACAGTCTTCTACTACCTGTGGCTCTATAGCTCTCTTGAATAATGTGGGCTTCAGCTTATGGAACATATCGAAATGTTTATCCTCTTCATTATAATTATTTCTAGTATGCCTAGTATGTACATAACTCATCAGTTGTGTTATCAAACTGAAAAATTACATCATGTTATTAGAACTCACTAGGATTATTACTATGATCATTTAGCATTTCAGGTGGATCCATTAACTCAGTATAGTTCTCTTTCCTATCAAATTAAAATTTAATCACACATATGCATGGAATTAATTAAAATAAAATAAATTATACACTACCTATTTCTACCCATCTCAATCATTTCTTATAACTATATTCTATTCTTTTAGTGACCTTTATTGTAATACCAATTATAACACCTTAGGGTTTAATTTTGGAAGAATTATTAATTATTAATTAATTAACTAGATTTACTAATCACTTTTAATTCATTAAATTATTAGTGAAAGTAAATATACATCATATTTATCAAAATAACTAATTATATTCATCCCACAAAATTAATATATAGTACCCAAGAGTTCAATCAGCACATTCATTTTTCTATCTTTTAACACTTGATTACAAATAAACAAAACAAAAAATACCAAAATAAAATAAAATATGAATCCCAGATTTATTCTCACTCAATTGGATCTTATCCACTTCTTTAAATCTTATAAAAATCATCGAGTAGTTAACAACTTAGTAGGTTACTAAAACCTATAATTAAAATCAATACATGACACTATAAATAATATGCATGTAATTATTTAATCAATATAAGTATGAATATATAACTATGAATGTATGTAATAAATAATAAAATAGTGACAAGTCATATTACTCATAAATATCAGTACAATTGTATATCTTAAGAGTAGTGATCATTAACTAAGTGAACCATGACTAGTAACTTCTATCAATCTTATATCGAGAAGTTATAAAATAGTATATATAATATCTTATTACATCAGTACACCTATCATTATCATATATATATATGTCATGCAATGCCTATGATATATATGAATATTATGTAAATCATGTGATATATATATATATATATATATATATCAAATGCCTTTAGATCAGTTATAGCGTATATCTTATAAAGCTTACGTCATGTTAATTATGTAATTTATCATATATATAATCCTATCATATGCATAATACAGAAATGTAAGCAAGAAAAAAACATTTAGTTATCTATGGTGTTTTTTCTTATATCCAATCCTGTATGCCAACCCTAAAGGAATCAATTTCAATCACATTTTAGGGAATTAATCATATCATAAGTCATTTAGGTCATGTGACTTTTATATTAGAAGTCATCACTTCTTGCCTATCAACATATCATATCTTATTAATTTTTCTCCTATGCCTCCCTTTTTTTATCATTTAGAACTACGCCACAAACCTTATTTAAAGGGAAGCCTGTTGGCCAGCCCTCCTATACAGGTAATATGTGTTCAACCAACTTGAATCAACTAATTATTTCTTGCTAACCTTTATTATATACACATGTGTCCCAACATATATTAACATAGTAAATAAGTGATTTGTTCTCAATCTTAAGCTCATTATATCATATTAATGCATGCAAAATTTCATTTGAACCAAAATTAATAAAATTCATAAAAAATAATGTATGCTCTTTTTCATCATGCATGTACCCTTCGTAACAAGCATACATATCATACTTTAAAATTATTAGGTTTTGATAATTATTGGTCCAATTTTTATATTTATCAAATTTCCTAACTTAAGAAATTTCTCCCAAAATATAAAAATACCTAGTGAAAATTCAATATATTTCTATTAATATGTGCAAAATGATTAAAACTACAACATATTGAAAGTTTGATAAAAGTAAAGATATTGAATATCTTATAAATTTTAACCAAATGAAATTTCACAAATAGAAAATATATAAAATTATTGAAATCATAGATAGTATAACGGTAACCTACCTCGAGAAGTTGAATTGCTGTCACCAGAGGTTAACTTGATAGTAAAAAGTCGAGAAGGTAATCATATTCCAGAAGTTCAGACTCTGAATGATCATAAGCATATGGAATCTTTAGAAAAGAATGAAGATAATCAGAGTGAAGGTTTTAAATTGAATGATGAGGTGAACCAGAGAAATAATTTTGAATCGGCTTGGAAGAAGACTCAACACATGAAACTGAACTTCGACTCCAAATCTACACAGCTATCGAAAGATGGGGTAGCTGTTAAACTCAAAACTGATAAGGAATTATCTAATTCCCATATATTGAAGAAGTCGTTAGTTATTAAAATTATGGGACATGAATTTCCATTTTCAATCAGTAGGCAAGAACTTAGAAGACAATGGATTAAATATGGTAGCTTCCATCTAACGACTTTGGGTAATAATTGGATTCTGTGTTTGTTTGCTAATCAGGAGTCTATGGAAGAAGTATTGAAGGGGGGCCCTTAGTACATTGGAAACCACATCATAGGCATGGATAGATGGTCGCCTTCTTTCTCCACTGATTCACTTAAAGGAATCACTTCACCAGTTTGGATTCACTTCCCAGGACTGCCGTTGAGCTGTTGGGATCAGGAAAACATCCCTATCATTGCCTCAATGATAGGTAATCCTTTGATGTTGGATGGAAATTCATTCAAATGGGGAAAGCGGGAGTACGCTCGATGCTGTGTCCGCGTTGATCTAAAAAGAAAGCTTCCTACAGGCGTTTGGATAGAGGGTATTCACGAAATATCCTTTCAACGGGTGGAATACGAAAAATTAACTTCTCTTCGTTACCAATGTGGTAGAGTTGGTCATAGCAAAGATAAATGTCCTGATTCTATTGTTGTGACTGAAACTGATTTGGAATATAAAGGTTCTAAAGATGTTGTGAATCAGGTTGGGGAAGTAAAATCTGATATTGTTAAGAAGAATGTTGAAGAATATGGGTCTTAGATCCATGTTAAGTTCAACAATAGAAGATTCAAAAATGCCAAAAATAACATTGGTGTTAATACTTCTGTTAAAAAGGTTTATAAACCTGTTGTTATGTTGAAACAGGGGAATGCTGCTGAGGCGAAGGAGGTATGTATTACCGAGAAAACGTCAGTCCAAGCAGAGTCAGCGAAGAAGAATCAAGATGTTGCAGTTCAAGTTCAGGAAATTCCAATTACTGTTAATAAATTCCATGTTTTGGATTGTTATGTAGAGGAGGGACAGATTGCTGAAAAGATGAATGAGAAGATCTCTAGTAATTCAAATGATTTGGATCTAGATGAGGCTGTTGGTTCTCTTGAATTGCTGGATAGTAATGTTGAGCAGATAAGGGAGGAACATTCAGTAGGTTTGTCGAATTCTGTGAAAGGTAAATTATCCAAAGAACTGAGAAGTTTAGGACCTTTGGAAAATACTCAAAGGAAGAGAAGAAT